GGAAATGTAAAAGAGCCTCAGAGTGAACAGTCACTTGTACAAAGTTCAGGCACCAATAGTCTTACACTGTCCTTTTCCATGTTTGCTCATTTTACCTCTTGTCAAAATCTGTCATGTAAAAAAAAAAAACCCACAGAAGTCTATTAAGTCTATTTATAAAAGGTACTTTATAAAGTTTTTGAAAAAATCGAATTAAAAGATGCTTTAATCTTGGTGCAAAAATAAATTTGAAGTAATATACATACATATATATATATATACACACACATATATACATGAACTTTGTGAAGATCCCTATATGCATGAACTTCAAAAACTGTCTGCACCAAACTTAACTTTCAGTTCCATTTTCCATGAACTTTCCCAAGTTCCCTCCTACCTATCTCACACTCCTGAACGGTCACTCAGTTATACCCAACAAGGTGACTTCAGCTTGTGCTCACAGCACAAATTTGTCTTGAAGAAGCTCCCATCACCCACGGGTCCTGAGACTGCCAGTTATCTCACGAGCAGCACCTGGCACCCTCTATCATGCACCAGAATGAATCTGACGCTGACACTGGGTTTCTCCTGGCTTCTCTTCTGTCAAGAGTGAAGTGTTGGTGTTTCTCAGGATGTTATTCTTACCATCTCCTGCTAATGAGAAGCCAAGGCTTTGGCATCAGACCATCTCAATTAAAACCCAAGGATTGACACATTCTGGCTGTGTGCCTAGGAGCAAGCTAATCTCTCACCACCCTCAGCTTTCTCTTCTGTATCAAGGGATGGCATATGGACTAACAATTCTGCACCTATATTACATCTATTTTTTGCCACGGGGATTTTATAAAAGCATATTTTAATACCAAAGAGTATGTATACACACATTCAACTTAGTGTTATATAAGAGGTGGATTCTAAAGATTGAAAGTGTGTAACATTTAAAGTATCCAACAAAAATGAAAGGACTTCAAAAAGTGTGGAAAACCAAAATGAAAAAAAAAAACTGGCACAAAAATGCTTTTATCTGTTATAAGGGTATTCAAAAAGTTCATGGAAATGTTTGGAGGGGAGGGGAGTCTAATAGATTGCAAAATGTGCTTGTAACCAATGCCCCAAACAATTATCCTTATACTCAAAAACAGTGAAGGGCAGAGAGAAAGAGTTCCCCCATCTGCTGGATTATTGTTCAAATTCCCACAAAGGTTATTGCTAGGCCAAACCAAAGAAAAGGCACCAGAAACTCCACCTGGGTCTCCCACGTGGGTGGCAGGAACAGTTAGGTATGCCATCACCTGCTGTCTGCTAGGCGCACACTAGCAGGATGTGGGAGACAGGAAATGACGCCAGGACAGACGCCTGCCATTAAGCATATACTGCAATAGCATTTTCCACAGACTTTTTAAAATACCCTCAGACTTTCTCATGCTGATGTCATGTTTTTAACTACGCCTTCTATTATATTTCACTCCTAAATGATTCCCTAACACGCTCTGAGAAACCCCATCAATCCTAACCCTGAACCTTGCCTAGCCCACCACACAGGAGGACACTGTGCACCCTAGAGTTCCTCCTTCTCTCTTCCACTCCTTTAATCCACACCATATAATCCCTCCCCTGGTCTTTCCTTCTACTTTCTATTACAAATCCTGCTGTCAGACACAGTTTAGGTGAAAGTGGCCCCAACGGCAGCAACAACAACAAAGAAACACAAGAGTCCTGCAGTCATTCCCACTTCCCCAGCCCCAATCTCTTCCCAACCTTACAGATGCCAGTTGGCCACATTCCAACAACAGTTGCATTCTGGAACACCGTGCTGGAGTATGTAAAGCCAGTGCCCATTAGTGCATGTTCCCTGCATCTGACAAGTTCTATTCTGCACCATACTTGCAGCTACGCTGGGACATTTCTTCTTCCTTCTACTAGACAGTCTGTCCTACCCCTAACCCTCACACTGCATATCTGTCTCATAGCAAATACTTGGAAAAACTGAGCAGAACGCACGCATGACACCGCACACTGCAAAGAACAAAAACTACACGTAACTCAGAGATTCTAAGCTAAGGCACAGCTCCAACTGGAAAAGCCGTGCTTAGTCCGTAGTTCCCGGTGTCCACCTGGGAAACACGATTTTTTATTTTGCAAGAGAAGAAAGACCTTGATCTGTATTTTTGGCCCATGAATGCTTCTTTTGAAGCATCTTAATGTATGATGTGCAAAGGAAGCCAACACATATGGATTAAGTTTCCTACAAAGCACATATGGATTTTATTAAAAAAAAAAAAAACACCACACACACACACAGCTGAAGAGGCTCAGAGAAACTATGATCTCCAAAGCAGATTACGTAGGGGTCTTTAAGTCCAAAACTCACTCAGAGCTCTCTTGCTTTAATTAGATGCTGACTCTCCTCTTGTGCTCCATGGACTTTGGGGAGTCACCTTCTTCATTCTCTCAGGGAGAGAAATGAAACATCTCTGTCACTTTTTCCCCTCTTGGCCTTGTCTCCCTTCTCCCACCCTAAGATTATCTCTTCTTTTTCTGTCCAGTTTTCCTGGCCTTTTTTCTTCCTCCATGGACCATTCTTCCAAACCTTCCTTTCCTACTCCCTTCTCTCCTCTTTTTGTTCTTAAACATTTACTCAGAGGACCGATTCCCCTTCTCTCAACACTTTCCCCTCAAACATTGGACTCTCTGAGTGCAGTGCAGGGGGCAGCATCAAGAAAGCTGTGGCGAAGGTGGACACAGACATCCATGGAAGTCTATGCAAAACAGGAATGCCCATCCCAAAGAAGGTCCTGGACTCTGACAGGAATTCCAGCTGAGTAGAAACAGCGCAAGCAGAGGCAGTGTACATGCACGGGAATGCAATTCGCGGTGGGGAAAGAGGCAATGGGGAAATGAAGGTCTTGAAATCGTTAACCAAAGCTGACATCCTGACCTGACCCACTCGCCAAGCAGTTATCTACATTGAGGTCTGAACTTGTGCACAACCTGAAACCCTCCCTCTACATCGCGCTGAATCCAGGCACACTGCAGAGTCCGAAACCCAGTGTCCCCTTCCTGCCTGCTCAACAGGAAACCTCTGCATTTTAACTAAAATCACCTGAATATTCTTAGCACTCTCAGAAGTCCCAGCTCAGAGCGTGAGGCCACTTTCTTCTGCTCCAACTGCTTAAATGGCTTACCAACACCACTGTCTGCTTCACAGCAGAAACATCAGGGATTTGGTTCCTTAGCTCCAAATGAGGCAAGAAAATAGGGAACTGCAGCATGGGAGGAGATCCTATTCATCCGAGGGACAGTATTTTTGCAAATAAGTTGCCCAAAAGTCCTCTAATCAGGATTTAATCAAATGATAGTTGAGCTAGCATAATGTTGTTCCAAAGCTGTTACCTAATTATTTCTCCTTCTAAAAGTGAGTAGCACAGTCCTCCTCCTGTTAGCTGTGTGATGGCTGGTTACACACTAATGAGGCTTAGAGAGAGTTGGACAGGACAACAAAAAGAGCATACCTTCACCACCACTTGCCACTCAAACAAAACTGACACCCACAAAGAAGGGTACTTAAAAAGTTCATGGGGACAAAAAAAAAAAATTGAATTGAAAGGTAAGCTTATTCTGGGGCAAAAACAATGCCTGCCACCCATGCACAGTTTTTTCAGAACACATTTTCCATGACCTTTCAGAAAGCGCTGCCTGCGCAGGGATTCAACTTCTGTAAATAAAATAAACTAGCTGTTTAATTCCATTGCCAAGGAACTTGCTGAAGTACCCTCACATGAGTTTCTTTTTACCATCCCGGTAAAGAGAAATCTCCTTTCAAAGCAAGTTTCATGTTTAACTTGCTGGTGAAGAGCCAGTATTTGGGCTTCATGGGACTGATTCAGAAGGTACAAATGCAGCACCCAGGAAAGGCTTGTTTCATTCACAACGCTTTGCTCCATGAACTATACCTCCATTTGTCTTTCTCTTTCCCACTCCAACGCCCCTCAAAATGCATGGGTAATCTTTCCAAACTAAGCACATAATATGATCCAGTATTTTGAGTATGGGGGAAAAAACCCCTATCTTCCAGAATCTAGCAGGGAGAAATAGACAACAACATGGAAAATTAGAAGTAACACAGAATAATTACTACTTGTGGTAAGTATTATGGCACACAACATAGCTTCCACCCTCAGACTACGATCTCCTTTCCAACAAGGGCTATAGCACTCATCAGCAAGTCGCAACTCCCAGCATGCATGCATGCTTGGCATACAAGGCAATCCAAGGCAATTCCAGTATCAACAGTCTTTCAAATAAACAGAGTGACTATGTATTTTGACAGTTTTAAACTCCCTACCTTAGAAGCAGATATCCATCCCCTGCTGCCCAACAATACTGTCTAGAAGCTCGCTCTCCCCCAACTTCTCCTTTCATTGCCATTCACTAAAGCACATCCCACCAGGAGGAGGAACAAGAGTCTATGCAAAGCATGGCAACTTTTTTCACACAGCATCAGTATCGGTACCTTGGCCAGTCATCCAGAAGGAGCCCTGCCTCTCAGTCCTCACTCTCAGTATCTCCCAGGTCCTTTGCTCCATTTTACTGTCTTTCAACATTCTTGACCTGCCATTTTTTCTCTCTGCAGCTAAGCTACAAATTCCTAACTTAATCAGGAGTTCAAAAGCACTATGACACCAAGAATCTGAGTGAGAAATCCCAGGGTAGGAATGAAAGCAGTCAACATCTCCACAGTTCACAAGGACATTGCTCATGCTCATTTGGATTCAGGGTTTGTGTATTAAGCCAGAGAAGAAGTAACTGCAACCAGGCAAGATACAGAATCAGGATATTCCATCAGAAAACACCACCTTGTGGACTGCTTCTGAGAGACGAGTTCATCATTATAGCAATTAGCAAAATGGAAAAGTTCTAATACAATGTGATCTAACACTACGCAGTGACAGTGACAGGCCAAACACAGGAGTTCTGTTTTGGTGGGGGCAGGGAGGAAGGAGGGGCGGCAGTAGTACCTTTTCATGGTTTTCAATTAAGATCTCCACGACAATATTCTGGAACTTCAAATCCATGATGGCAGCAACAGTTTCTTCCTGGGGCCTCATCAAAGTTGGTCCAAACACCACTCCTAAATTTGCCACGGTCATTAGATTCTGCTTGGAGTGATTTGAAACGCTGACAAAAAGGAATTTTTAAAAAAAGTTGGTGTTAACCAGGGGGCCATGACTGTGAAAAGCACTGACTGTGTTCCCTTAAAAACATGGAATCAGAAACGTAAAGGGCTGCCTGTTTCTGAACTATCTGATTCAACCAAACCCCACTTCCTGAGACCACTGCCTAGCTCTTCAACTATTGTTCTCTGTTTGACAGTCTGCTCCAGCCAGGATACCTTTCTCAGTAATTCCATGACTACATTAAGCTTGTTTCTTCTACAAGCCTTCCTTCACCAGTGTACCTCCTTGAAATATACTTCCAGATCACAGTGCCCTTGCACAGGAACCTGCTGGATTACATTGTCTGCAAACACGCAGAGCTGTCTCCCAGGACCCCTTGCTCATTCCCACAGCACAGCACCGTCTTGCAGGGAATGGCTTGCACCACAGGGGAATGTGTCCCCAGTGGTGCACACACTCCATTCAGTCCTACACTCACACAGCCCTTTCCCAACAGCCCTCTTTCAGTGTTTCAGGCTCTAATACCACTGTCTATTTAGAATTCTTTTCTATGTCTACTGCAATTGCTTATCTTTTTTCCCCTAAAACCAAGCTTCATAAAACATTCCAGAACCAACTGTGTATCCACCAGAACAGAAAAACAGAACTCAGCTAAAAATGTGCTAATGAAAAGCATGATTGATTGTGTTAACTACTAGGACCTTTGCCAGGTCACTACAATAGCCCCTGGTTTCCATTTTCTTTATTTACAATTAGAGTTCTCAAAGTGTTCAACAACTTCCTCTTACCTCCAAAATCCTACATAGCCATCTGAGAATCGCAATAAAACAAAGGACTAACTTCTTTATTACCTGGTAAGATTTCACTTATTTTTTAAAGATGGAGGGGAAGAAAAAGCAGGGTTCCTATGGAATAGCTTAAACAAACTGAAAAGACATGTTCAAACTAAAAGTTAGGTAGGTGTGAAACCAAACTAAATTTGTGAACAGACTTATAATCCCATTTCCAGAATGTGTGTAAAGCGGGGCAATGTGTAACATTCTCATCTTTCGCTTCAAATCTAACCCCGAGTTGCTGGCAAGGACATTAAGCAAATAATTATACAATTTTATGAAAGTATCATATTTCAACACTCTTGTCCAAGACACACACAGTGAGTCCAACGGCCAGGCTGCCCTTCCAGGTGTGGTCCCTGGAATGGTGTGTGCTGCTCCAGCTGCACTCGCTGTAAGTGAAAAAAAACATCATGCAGCGCCCAGAGCAGTGGGAGAAGGGGATAGGAGGCAAAAGAGCCTTACTTAGTCAGGTGCTTCACCAAAATATCCAACATTTCTTTATTTTTCTCTGGCAATTTGTGGACCAAGAAATGGATGGCATTGACTCGAGATTCTGGGCTGCCACTTTCTTTGAAAAAAAAAAAAAAGAAAGAACATGGTTAGTAGAGCATTCAGAACCCAATATATCCCCCCAAACAACAATCATAACAGTTCATCTATTCAAGATTTCAAGCATTCAATTAGCATATCTCTCCACCTATGAAAGAAAAAAAAAAATCTCTTTTCATTATCAGTCCTCTAACACCTCTTTTGTGGTCATTTCTGTGTGGCTACAGTGAAAGCCTTTTTCTCTTCTTATATGAAACAACAAAGGGTCTTCAAGTAATTTATAAAAGACACACGTTATTAAAAAACTATGCAGACACTCCAAAACTTTGGGGCACCACAATGTCATTTAATTCCACATTCCCACAAATTCTCTTTGTTCATTCTTACTTGCTTTTATTTATTTGACAGGCAGAGAGACAGACGGATGGAAATCTTCCCATCTACAAACTCCCTTTCCAAATGCCCTCCAGCAGCCAGAGCTGAGCCAAGACAAGTGAACTCAGTCCAGGTCTTACATGCGGTTGAGGAAGACTTGAACGCACACCTGCTACCTTCCCCCATGTGCGCATCAGTAGAAAACAGAAAAGGCAGAGCCCATACTGAAACCTAGGAACTCTGACAATGATCAAAGGCACTCCAAAGAGCATCCTCTGCACTGTGCCAAAGGCTCTTCTTTCCCTAAACTTGGTTACAATTGCTCAAACCTTCCCCCAGCAGGCACTCTGTGCTTCGTCAGCTACTTCCTGACTTGACAGCATATGGTCACTAGATAACCGCCCCCCCCCCATCAAGGAACCTCAGTGAAATATGTATGATCAGGCTCTTTTTTTTCCATGTGAATTAGATGGTATTCCCCCACCAAAACCTGTGTTCAAGTTACAACCCCTAGTAGCCCCAAATCCAGCTGATTCAAATGAATCATTATAAATGAGGAAAGACAGACATGGTAATCACTGCCATGATAGACATTCACATTGACAGAGTCCTGAAAACTGAAAAACAACTGGCCATGCAGGGGGTCACACCATGGAGCATCACAGTTGGAAAGGAGGCAGGAGAACCAAGAAGAAAAGGAGGTCAGGAGCCTTATTCGTGCTTTGTACAGGCAGCAATGGCCTGGGCAAGGCTAGCTAGCATGGTGCATGCTGGCTGGCTGGCTGGACGGATGGATGGCTGCAATTATTTCCATAGTCTCAGGGACATGAGAGATGAGGGCTGGAGATGATGACTTTCCTGCAGAGACCCCAGTGGGGGAGTCTGGTAGGGAAGGGCCATATGTTTCAGACCACACAGCCCGCGAACAGTGCCAGTTGTGAGCTGTGCATCTCTCAACACTGGATCTAAACTCCCTTCCCTTTATCCTCATTGGGAAAAGATGAAGCAAATGAAAACAACTCTTGCCATTGGATGCAATGTTAGAGTGTTCAGAGGGCATCAAAGAAGGGACAAATGAACACTAACTACTCATTTTTATCAATATGATTACCCATAAAATGGGGTCAAAATTTTCTTTTTTGGTTCTACACCAGGCTGGCAGGGAAGCTCAGGCAGTAAGAATCTTTCACATAAAGGAGACTATTTCGGCAGTGCCTTTTTATTTCTTTACTTTGATTTCATTTGGAAGGTGGGGACTGGGTAAAGGTAAAGACACCGACAGCAATCTCTTATCTGCTGGTTCATTTCCTAAAAGTACCCATAGGAGCTCGGGTGGGCCAGAATCAAGTGGTTAACCAGGAAATTCACCGCAGTCTGTTACATAGGTCTCAGGGACCCAGGTACCGGAACCTTTGTCCACCGTCTCCAAGGGTGTGCATTAGCAGGAAGCTGGACCTTGAGGAATGTGGAGGAGTTCACAGAAAGGCAGAAGTGAGGAGTTCAGGGGACACAAAGAGGCGGCACTGACTCTGCATGCAGGAAGGCAGCTTGAGACAAAACAGTGGTCTAAAAAGGCCACTTGGAACAATCAGTCTCTACAGGGGTCTCCTAAGTAAGTCACTAACAGTGAAGCAAGCACAAGCTATGAATAGAGCTAAGGATTCAGAGGCTGCACCTGACATGCTCTAGGGAATAGGTTAGAATTGGAGAAGAGCAAGTGAAAAGTCAAGCCATGTGAACAAGAAGTCACAGACTGGGGAGGGAAGAAGTACAAAGGGTGGTAGAACCACAAGCAAGGATGGTCAGCCAAGGAAATACACCCTGGAGTCACCCATTACAGTAAGTGCTTGCAACTGACAGCTGTGGGCTTGAGCAAACAGCCTGAGTTCTCCCAGCCTTAGTCTCCTCATCTCAAAATGAGGATGACAACACTACTTCAAAGGGCCAGAGCCAAGGCCAGGTCTGCTGTGGAAATCCTGCAACATATATCCTGCAGAGTGGTTGGCTTACAGCAGCCCTGGATCAACCTGCCGAGTGGCTGGCCCATGGCTAGCTGTGACCCAGGGCTGCTATTATGTCTGCTGCCTGTGTTACTACTGTGTAATAGCTATGATACACATGGATCTGACATGACTGGTTGCCAGACATCGTGGATCAGGAGGCAGAAAGGTGACCAGTGCTTCCTCTCAGGTTGCCCACTGACAAACAGCAGTGCAGAAGGCAAAGCCAGTCTGGGGAAGATGATGCTGGAGGTAACACAAAGATTGATGTTTAAGAACTGATACCCAGCAGGTGGCTGGGAAAGAGATCATAGCTCCTAAGTGTTCACATGGACAGAGCTGCCCAATGACTCCCAAAGACAAACTGAGGGCATGACACAGATCAGAGCTCCTAGCACGTATGGGGGAGATGCCAAGCCAACCAGGGAGGCAGGGGTGAGAGGAGCACACCTGCCAAAGTGGCAGAAAATGGCCCAAGTGTTCGGGTCACTCAAAGCACATGGGAGACTCCGGAGAAGGTCTTAACTCCCAGCTTTGGTCTGCCCCAGCCCTAATTCTTGTAGCCATTCGGGGAATGAACCAGTAAAAGGAAGAGATCTCCCTTTTTCTCCAACTCTTCCTTTCAGACAAGGAAAATAATTTTCAAAAATGTTCATTTTTTATTTGAAAAGCAGAGAGACAAAGATCTCACATCTATCCCTTCATGCCACAAATGTTCGTAACAAGCACAACTGGGTAAGGCTGAAGCCAGGAACTCAGAACCCCTACCTCCAAGCCCCCATGTGGATGTCAGGGACCCAAACTTGAGTCATCACCTGTTACTTCCCAGAGTGCACATTATCAGGAAGCTACAATTGGGAACGTAACAGGACTTGAACCTAAATCCTGCAAAATACAACATGTCAACCACTGCATGAAATGCCCACTTTTATTATATTGACAGTAATTGGCCAAGAACAAGTTTTTCAAAACGAAATATTGGATACTGAGTTCATTATAACACCAAGTTTCTGAAATAATGACGGAAAATAAGTAGCGTACTGTAACCAGAAAAGCATTTTAATTGTGAAACTTCTAATCAGCAGCCACTGCACCCCCAGCATCTATCTGCTTACTGTGCTGTGCCAACCAAGAGACTAAAAATGTAGAATGAAAGTTTACTGGGGCTTGTAAGACACATAGGCAGACATTAAATTTTCACATTAAAATGGCACTGTGATGTTAGGAAAGCACTGGTGGTAAACATCTAAGCACTTCCCTACACCTTCAGTGAACACACATCAGGTGGTCCTGCTCTTTGTGGGCATACCCTGCCCCTCAACCTACTGTGGTGGGATGAGTACATGAGCCTAAAACATGGCTCCTATTCAGTATTTGAAGCCTTTCATTTCCATGTTCTCGAGTACTTCCCAGCAGAAATCCCATAATGCTTTTCTTGCTCTCCTGCAGGTTTCCCAGTAAGGATGCACCAACTTGGTTAAACCAAAATCTATGCCCTGGACCCCAGCAAAGTTACGTTTCTCATCTGAAATGACTAAGATTTTGTCCTTATGATTTTGCTTCTCAAGTAATGTGACCAGAGGAAGAAACTACATGGGACACATCAACAAAAACGCTGCTGAGGACCAAGTGACAAGAGCATTGGCACAAGTGACAGCCACCACCCAAGCTCCAATCGCCATTTTCATGCTGATTCTTGAAGATGAGTCCCACTCTGACCAACAGAACACTGCAAGGATCCTGAGTTGGAATCGCTGACACAGAGCATGGAACAACAGCACACTCCACGCAGCCCCTGTCATATGGCAAATGCACGCAGGCAGGAGCCTGCCAGCCTCGTGGTAAGGGACAGGATCAGTCGTCCTGCTGCACAGACCAAATAATGGCACTTTCATCTCAGAAGATTCTAGTCCAGAGCCCATTCCAGTGTCTCACATGGAGAATGAGCTCACACTCCTGTTAGCAATTTCAGTTAACTCAGCTTGCAGAGTGCTAAATTATTAAATTAAATCTTCATTCTCTCAAAGAAAATAAGCTTTTTTCCCTCTCCTTGTGTTTCCAATGCACCTCAGGTTGAACAAGTCAGCTAATTCTGCTTTTTAAAACAAAGAAATGTGTTTTTTTTACAGTTACCATTTGAATAAAATTCAAATACTTTATTTATGAACTCCAGAAATTAACTCAGAAGCTTTCAACAGAAAAAAATTACAGGAGAGAAATTGATGAGAGAAGTGAAAAAAACCAGGAGAAACATTCAGAACTACTAGCAAAGAAGGCAACAGAGACCATCTCAGCTCCATGGGATACTTGGAAACCAGCACACATGACTAAGAACCAGAATCCAGTATCCATGCTGGTGCGAGAGAGAGGCAGGCACAGAGGCTGGTGGCCTTGGTCATGGCAGAAGTCAGCTCAGCCAACAGACACTTGTCACAAAACAAGACAAGCTGGGTCAATGTGAATGGAAAATGATAGATTCATTACAATCCAAATTTTCCACGCGCTTTGGCCATCTGATGTCTGTGACCATTTCACTCAGCACTGAACAGTACATATGGAAAGGACTTGAGCCTCTGCCCCCACTCTTTCCTCATGAAGGCAAGGTACTCACAAGAGGTCAAAATGAAAATGTCAAAAGCCTGCGTTGGCAGCTTAGGCCCCTAACATGCATCTGTTTAAGCAGAGGTGCATTCTCTCATTGACTAAGACTATCACAGGTCCCATCCCAAGCACAGCTGCACTTGGCACAAATCCACACCAGGAATGACAGTAGCCATAGTGTTTCTTCGCAAGAAATCTACTATTCAAATCATCAGTAAGACTTTGTCCAAGTAAGGAAGCAAAACACAGGGTACTACTATAGGAGGTGACGATTCCTTTTACATGATGCAAACTCATTGCCAACCACCACGGACTTCACTGCCTCTTAGAAAGTTAAGTTTGTTCCATTTAGGAATTTCTTCAACTGACAAAATGCGTGGGTATTCCAATTTCAAACACACTGCCTTCTGTGATGGGGCATGATAGCAATACTAATTACACTAATGTGTGGTAATTTAATATTTACCCTATAGTCACTTCATCTCTCTCCAATTCTCAGGGGATTCTAGATTAAAATTGGCACTCTTCTGCTTTTTCCAGGCTCTAAGGCAAACAACGTGCAACAATTGTCCTCCAACTAAGTTTAATTCTCTTTCCTCTGCCAAAAATGCCACAGGGAAAAAATCAAAACAAGGAAGCATTTGCTTGAGTTTTTGCCAAGAAAACTTTCCCTGATTTCCATGAGTGTACAAATTCTCATTTCAAAAAAAAAATCACTTCCACGTAAAAAACACGAGTGAGCAGAACCCAAGTTTTCTTCTTTTAAAAGCCTACCTTACCCTTGGAGTGTTGCTAGACCCATACATCACTTCTCTCTCCAACACATCAGGAACTTGTATGCAGCCTGGAGCAGAGACCTCACAAGAAGCGAGCATGGACATTTTGGGCTACAGTTAACACAGAGCCCAAAGGGGCTGCTTTGAGTGTTTCAAGAAATTAAACTATGGAATACATCTTAGGGGAAAAAATAAAAGGAAATGAAAATACAATTACAACTACTGTCAAGTGCACCTGTGTAAACCAATACTGTAGGCTTTAGCCAGGAGAACTGGGGCTTTGAATTTTAAATAAGGCCCCCCCCCCATAATCTGGCAAATTATTTAACATGCCTCAACCTACATTTCCTTATCTGCTAACAACCTAATACAAGTATACCTCAATAGACTGTGATGATTAAACAGCATGTGTTGAACATAAAAAGTGAGCTACATGATAACTGAGAGAAAACAAGAAAACCACAAATTGAGTATGACTCACAAAAAACACAATCCCAAATCTAAGTTTTGCCAATTGTAGGCCTTTTTCATTTAACATCTTGCACATATAATTCACTATCAAATATTGTGTGAACTTCGGGAATTATCTCATCCTATTCCTTCTGCCTATAATTTCCATCATCTAAGTAACTTTCTTTGCAAAAGCAAGCTTTCTCCAGCCTCCTATTCTCCCTAACTCTGCTACTTTCCTCAACCTTCTGCAAGTTAAACACTTTTGTGTTCTCATACTACATTTTCTCATGCACAAGCATGTTCTTAATCACCTAGAAGAAGTATTTGGCCTAGACATTGACTCTTAACCTGTTATAACACAACATTCAACCAGCCTATACTATTGACTAAATACCACATTAGGACATAGTTAATGTCTCTAAAACAACTGGCTCTTTTCCCCCAACTTTTCCAGGGGGTAAAACATCATCTACAGTGGTTTCTAGTTATAACACAGACCACAATATCAAGCTAAATTGCTCCCAAGGAAATCACACCCATCATCAGTATCAACTGCAAAAATCGCTTCGTTGATACTTACTGGCTGGTACAATGAAGTCTCCATGTAACTCATAGGTCATGAGGGGCTCTGGAAGACTCCTGAAAGAAAAGAATAGCTCAGAATTACTAAATGACTCCAAAAAGGTCACTTCCCTCTGAGTTTATTTTTTGTAAAAGGGTGTTAAATATATTTAGTGCACTTCTTGATTCTCTTGTAAAACATCCCTAGGACATATCAGACAGAAAATACATTAATCAAATAATCACTTCATTAACTGACAACTTGCACCAGGTACTATCAAAGCTTAGGGGGTTACAAATCCCTAGCCGACCTAAATATGCAGTTAATTTCTATCTGATCTTGGAAACTACCCCAATGAACATCTGGTCTTCTGTGTAAAATTTCCATTCACACTTTAGTATATTCAAATTCAAACATTCTATCTAGATGTAAGTATGTAATCTTGAGTCATTTCTAAGATACCAATTTAAGATAAAAAATACATAGAAAATATTGAACAAATCTCTCAAAACTCTACTATAAATATATTCATGCATATCAAAAAAATTGATGACTACTTCAAAAATACACTGAGCCCATTTTGATTTTCTACATAACAAAGTACGTAAGTGGTGGTATCTTTATCTTGTGGTTAATAGAACACTGTAGTTCGGTGACCAATGCTGCATTTCTTAAACTAAAACAAAAATGCATCACCCGACTGTATAAACACTTATACACTTAGATGAGCATCCATTCATCCTGTCTTTCTAGACAGTAGTCTGACAATAAATGAAGAACTTTTAAACAGTTGAAATACCCTAAAAATGGTTCTTCCAAAATTTTTTTAAATCAAAGATTTACAAATAATGACATACAAAAGCTAAGAATGTTCCCCGAGAGAAAGATCATGTTATATTGAGTCTGCTCATGATGACATAACAATACTGATGCTAAGGGATCTAGTAACAGAGCTTCAAAATATATGAAACAAAAGCTGGTAAAATAGCAAGAGAAATAAATTCACAAATACAGCCCAAGTTTATTTAAACATCTAAGTAACTGGTAGAACAAGCAGGTGGCACATCAGTTAGGACACAAAAGCTTGGAACAAATTATCAGTCATGTTCATCTAATTAACAAGGTTTCATTCTAAATGACACTCTATCAAAAAGTAATTCTAACTTTCAAACAAACACATTTTTTAAAGATTTATTCATTTTTATTCAAAAGTCAGATTTATACAAAAAGAGAGAAAGATCTTCTATTCCCACTGTAATGGCTGGAGGTGAGCTGATCCAAAGTCAGAAGAAAGTGACACTGCCTTAATTAAAGCAAAAACCCATGCAATTCACAATACTAGCAAAGTTTATGATCCTTTCATTAGAAACAACTGGATATTTACATGCACAAATCTACATGACTTAGACAAAAATTAACTCAAAATGGGTCAACGCTGCAAACATTCTACAAGAAAATAGTATTGAAAATCTCTGACTTTAGATCAGGCAAAGACTTCTTGACACATCATCCACATGTCTCAACAAAAAACAAAAATTGATCAATTGTACTTCACTCAAATTCAAAAGAATCTACACTAAAGAGTGCACACTGATAATTCAATTTATATGCAACTACAGGAAACGTCAACTTATTGTGCTAGGAAGTAGAAGCCCAGTCACTACAGGGGAGCCGAGGCTGAAGAAAGGAAATGCCTTGCTGTCTATTCTCCTAAGGAGAAGCGGGCTTCAGAAGGAGAGAGGAAACCACTGCCATAATGAAGATGCCCTCAGTGTATATGTATATAAGCTTATCAAAATGTACATGATTAATGAGCAGGTTAGTATTTGTATGTTACAATCCAATAATTATGCTATTAGAGGTAAAAACATACTCACAAACGTCTTACATGCAATTAATGATGCATCTTAAAAACATACCAATATTGCTAATCAGAAACAAAACTAAAACTAAAAGCACGAGTGAGAGGAAACTGTTCCGTTTACTTCCTCTGCCCTCTCCCTCTCCCCATTCTCCCTATAGGCTCACATTTAAAAAGGAGAAAAAACAACAACAGCAAAACAACAAAAACACTGTGCCCAGCCTGACTCAGGAGAAGGACCAATTACAAGGAATTCTTCACGACTTTTTGTTTCAAAGTGCAGGGTACTCAACAGAGTTCATGGAACATGAAATTAAAAGCTCATTTTGGGTATAAACATTTGAAATTCATGCATATACGGAGTGTTCAAAACCTTCCCGGAAAATTGTGGGGTTTTTTTGTTTTAAAAAAAACTATGCATGAAATTGAAAATATGCAGCAAAACACACATATCATTAAATTCCATCTTTCCATGAACTTTTTGAAGTATGCTCATATGGATAGGCAGGGAGTATGCAGCAAAGAAGAAAAATGGTTACCTGGCAGAAGGAAGTTAGAAGGTGACAAGCGGAAAAGGTGGGGCAATGAACACATTTAGATGAAACCACAGAGAGCATTTCTTTTCCAGTAAAGCTGATTTTGTATCTAATTATCTTCTACAGGCTACTTATATCATTGCCATATGTCTAGCCAGGCGATACAGCATAAAAAATAAATATCACTAATGTTAGGGAAGCAGTAATAAAAATGACAAGTTCCCCATACAAAATTGATTACACTGAGTCATCACATCTCTCACCCAACATGTTTGTAAAGCCATCCCTCTCCACCACACACTAGAATCTGCTGGGGGATATAAATTATAACATTTACCTAAACTGGCATTTTCTTCCCGAAAAGCCCCATTCCAATCTCCAGGTTTAAAAGAAGTTCCCTCCAGGTAAAATCATTTTACTGAAAACATCATCATAGTGTTCATCTATCCTCCCACAATGGGAAAATGTTGCAAGGAATACACTGGTGAAAATCCAAATTACAAAGAGACCAGGGTCTGGAACTCAGCCTTCTAAAACACTTGAAGTAAAAGCATTTGCCCCAAATCAGTGGATGACGAAGGCAGATACCATGCATAGGTCACCGCTCATTCTGTAAGACCTTAGTGGCTTTCCTTCCTGATGGAGTTTAATGCTTCGGGGGTTTGTTTCCTTCCTCCTTCCCCAACTGCCCAGCCAGTAAGGTGGCCGGGTTATCTGAAAGCAGAAGTCAAAGGCAAGAGCTCTTTTGGTGGTAAAAACAATCTGTCCCCTTCCATGGTGTGGTAGGGGAGAGAGCTGGGATTTCCACCCTATAGGCTGGTTGACTCCAGACCTCACACTTGACCACCACACTATACCAGCTCAAAAAGCAGTATCTACTCTCTTGGAGTAATATACTTGACCATGGAGTCAAAATGGAAATAAAAACTCTTTTCCTCCATTTGGTGCATTACCAGAGAGAAATGTCAATTATATCCTAATCATTACATTTTCTGTGCATAAAAACAGCATGGGTAGGGAAGGGGGAACAGCAATCAAACTCTTCAGTCTCCCCAGGCATCTGCCATCTTATGATAATCGTTTCATCACAGACAGGCAGAATGTGGATACTGGTTAAAGTGAAGTTTTATAATTACAGCATCTTTTGCCATCCTGTAGTCAATATGTGCCTCAAAGTGGAACTCAGTGGGCCAAAGCAATGGAAGCAGAAGTGAAAGCAGAAAAAGCAACCCAAGACCAGAGGCCACAAGGTACTACCTTCGGGGAAAACCAGCATCCAAAGAGAAATTTTAGCAACTAATTCCTGCCCCAAAGGAAAAGAACACCATGTACAGCAGGGAAATCCCCCTGTCTCCCCACCCCCCAAAAAACAACATACCTGTTACTAGAAAAACTGATTTTTACCCACCCACCCCCACTCCCCACTAATAGCTGAGTCACTTTGGTCAGTCTCTATTCCTATACAAGTTTTGAGTTGATCAAATAGCAAGATCATTTCTTTGGTTTTCATTTGAGAGGCCAGGATACAGACAGAACTTCCACCCACTGGTTCACTCCCCTTCATGTCTGTAACACTTAGGATTGGACCAAGCCAAAGCTGGGAGGCAGAACTCAATGCAACTTTCCTATCTGAGTGGCATGGACCCAAATACCAGAGCTGTGCTCACTACCTCCCATGTCTGCATTGTCAGGATGGTGCAAGTAGGAAAGCATTAGAATACACATGCAAAGTAAGAGTCTCCATTGCGATCTTACCTGCTAGCATCAATACCTGCTCCAGTAAAATGAACTTAAAGCTAGCTCCTACAATGGAAGTATCCTCTAGCAGTCAAACTCACATACACAATTCATTGTGTTTATGTCTCATATTCTTTCCTTTATCCATACAATACATGTTTCCTCTGCTTCAACACTGTAGTATTTTAGAAGAAACCATTCTTTGGAAGGAACATTTAGCTGTCCTGTCCTATACACTGTAGCATGGGCCTTGTCCCAATAACACTTCCTCCGGCAATCCCAACAACCTGAACTCCAGACACTACCAAGCATACACTAGGCAACAGGGAAAAACCAATGCTCACAGCTCCAGCTGTTGGACACACTACAATGGCTGTCTTCAGGGAGCTTCCCCTCCAATCCTAAACTAGGCACTAACAAGATCCAATTTGTACCATAATCTGCTTCCAAACCACAGTTTGGCATTACCAGTGGTAATCAGGATATAAATAATATATCTTAATTATACCTTCTACTAGGGCAACAGTAATGTATTTATCAGGTAAAGAAACTATGTATTTAACAGTAGCTGAAAACATCCTTTTATAAATAAGTTACTTAAAAATAGGTACCACACACCTAAACCTACTGACAAATTTAGTTATCACACAAACCAACTAACATAACAGGAAGAAAGCAGCACTGATGCAATTTTTAAAGTTTCACCAAAATCTAAAAAAGTCTATTGCCCTGTCAGTTTACAAGTCATATACTAGCTACATGTTCAATGACAACATGAGCACACAATTAGGCATATCAAAAACATGGAAAATTCTATTTTAAAAAGTGAGCTGGGATTAGGGGACTGGGGCTGTCCCTGGGGTATAGCAAGTTAAGCCGCCACCTGCAATGCTCTCACCCCACAGGTGCACAGTTCCCTCAGCTGCTCCACTTCCTGACCACACCCTGCTGCTATACCCAGGAAAGTAGAAGATGGTTCACGTGCTTGGGCCCCTGCGACTCATAGGAGAGACCCAGATGGAATTTTAGGCACTTGGCTTTGGTCTGGCTCAACCCCAGTTGTGGCAGTGAAGGAGTGAAACAGCAGATGGACAATCTTTCTCTCACTCTCCATTACTCTGCTTTTGAAAAAAATACTTTTTAAAAATTTCTAAGGTGATTCAGATCCAAGAAGTAACTGCCACAAGAGAGAAAGAGGGAGAATCTATGGAGTGCAAGAGACTAAAGACTGAAACAAACAGGGACCAAGTATTGGATGGTATTAACTACGTCAAGGATAATTATATTCTAAGTTTTTTTTTTGAGATGCACACTCCAGTATTTATGCGTACAATAAGATAACTGCAGGGAGTATCATCTGCAGGGAGTGATAGAATGAAGGATGAATCAAGGATAGACTGGAGACAATTAAAGAGGAAGGGCTTACACAACTGAGGTGTTATAAGTATTTTCCTAACTACAGAATGCTGTAATGTAATGTGCTCACTGGGATTGAAGCAACTTTGACCTATCCCACCACCATGCACACAGTTCAGAAGAGCTGGTCTTGGAGAACCCTGCCATTGCCTTGCCATAGCCTTGCCATTTAGAGAAAAGTCTCAGAACCACAGCACAGAAGCACAGTCCCAATTCCACTTTCATCCCTTCACTCACTTCTCTTTCTTAAATTCTCTGTATCAAATCTTTGTTACATTAGCTTATCATTAAATTCTTTTTGAAAGTGATGACTTACCACAATGCTTAATCTTTTCCTACTCCAGTCCTAAATACTTTTATAATACATACAGACTTAACTTTTTCATAAAACCTCATCATAAGACTTCAAAAAGAGAATCCTCAATTTTTCCTAAAACACAGATATCCAAATTTTTCAATAAATGGCTTTCACTTTCATGTTTTCAAATTTATTCCAGTTGTGTCCTGCGGCAATCTATTTGTGAACCGATGCACTTCAACTCACTCCACTGCACCAGAGCGTTACTACGCACATTTTTAATAAGGTTGAACTTGACTGTCAATACGTTTTTATGTTCACGTTTTCCTCTGTGGCTGAGAGGAGCTTACCTCAAATACTGTTTCAAGGCACTGGTTATTGTCTTTACTTCCCAATCTACAGAATTTTCCAGGTCCAGCTCATTGCATGTTTTTGCATCTAGTAAGCATAAAAGAAAATTTAAAAAAAATTAAAACTCTGAACATTCAAAGGCTCCATTAACAAAACTTACATTTTTTAAATGGACAAATCACAATCAATCCTAACATTTCCTACAAAAATATGACACACAATTTCTTCATAATACTATAAAGCATCTAGATATCTCCAATGCTTTCAAAAGTCTGTAGTACAGATCAAACAAAAGGATATGGGTCGAACTGTGAGTAAAGAAAAATTAGACATACTATGGTACTTCCACATCCACAGCTGTGATTCATATTTAGGTATCATCACCATCATCTTATTTGACAGAGACAGAGTAAAATTGACAGCACAATCCCATCAGCTGGCTCATTCTCTAAGTTTCCACAATGGCAGGGAAGATGATCAAAATTGTGAACTCATTCCACGTCTCCCAGGGTGGCAGGAACTCCGTTAACTGAGCCATCACTATTGTTTCCCAGAATCTACATTGGCCAAGCAGCTAGGATCAGGGGCCAGAGCTGGGTTTCAAACTCAGGTATTCCAAACTGGAACGTGGGCCTCGGAACCACCAGGCCAAAACCTATGCCAACATAGCTGAAAGTGCTCTTCAGTGCCCCTGGTTTACAGCCTGTGGCAGTTTCTGTTGCTGGCATTCGGTTTAACATGTTTTACGGGGGTGATGTTGCCATCATATTGCATTACGGCAGAGGAAACCTAGGGTGTCACCACTAATGGCAAAATGACTCGCAGAATGACAAGCCAGTAAGAAAAAGAATGATAACCATGGTCCAATACTTCCAAGATTTGTACTGATAGTATTCTCTTATTAAAGACAAATATCTGATCAACCAAAACAGAAGGCACATAAACTCTCAAATCCTATTATGGATAATTTTTTACATTAGTGTTGGAATGTATGCACTCTAAAAGGAAATATTTATTGGAAGCCTCTGTTGACATTCATTCTAAATTAAACTGCTTTTTGGTGTACCGGATGTATTGCTTCCCAATGCCCTTTCAAACAGCTAAGAAGTTTGGAAAGAAATACATGTAGCACCCCCCCCCCCGAAATAAAACAGAAAGGAGGTGGAGGAGTTAGTGGTATTAGGGAGAAGAAAAAAGTCAATCCTGGTTCAAGAGAAATGAAATGATGGTGGGTAAGGCAGGCACTCAAGTATGGTGGCATCTGGGATACCTAGGACTCTGGGCCGGGACACTTGGCACCAGCCAGACAACAGGGAGGAGTACGGTACCAGCACCACAAACGCCTGCCCATGTAATGAATCAAGCCACCCCATGCAAGTGAGCCTCAACCTTGCTCAACTTCAGCTCTTCATCTGCCAAAAACAAAGCATAGAAACACTCTCGAAGAAAACTCAGAGCACCAAAGCTATCCTGAGAATTTATGCAGATTTGCATCCATGATTAAATGTAGCAGGATAGTACCACAGCTGTGTCCCTGAAGAAGAAATGCATTCAGCAGTGATACCTGCCCAAAAGAAGGAGGTGGCAAATGGGTTATGACAGTTAACACAGAACCACTAACATCATCTTGCCTATTGTTCTACACTCAGGTCATGCAAAGGGAGAAAAAAAAATCTGTTTAATTCAGACACTGCTCTGGACTATTACAAAAAAATAAACCTATTTGGGAAAAATTTTTCCCTCTACCTTAAAATGTCTACATAAGGGGAAAATCTTACTAATGTTTCCTCCTTACACGCACTGAGAAGAAAATTCTGTCAAGATGGGACCCTGGGTCATGGTTTAAAAGTTCTAGGCTTGGGCATGATGAAGGGTGGATGACAACTCATTACGGGTCTCAAACTTTTTGACAACAGAGTAAAAGAGTAAATGATGGTTATTTCACAGGCATAACACCATACATATGAAGTCAATTACTCAAAGGTCTGGAGACTTTTTCAAGCCTTCAACATTTCTTGATTACAGCAACTGACAGCAACATGCAATAAACTTCAACAATGGCAATTGACACTGATTACATTTTGATCAGTTCCTACAATTCAGAACTCATTTGTTACTGAGCTTGTCAGACAAGCCAAAGATACATTCAAGAAATCAAATTAAGCACCCTGATTAAAGATGCAATCCTTTATAACTAGGACTAAATAATTCTGTTCTAAAGGCTTTGCCAACCAATTACTTCTGTAACTGAATATTCTGTCTCTCATTAAATCAATTATTTAAATCTCATTTTAACATAAGTCAAATAACATTTTCAATCAACCTGCTACCAGCAAAATCACCATTTTAAAGTCCAAGAGGCTTCTAAAGGAAATCTTTTATTTCCAACTTTCTACCAAAACATCTTTCTGTATTTTGAAAATCATATTCTCGCTATGGAAAAATAAGCCATCCTCCTAAATTCATGGACTAAAAAGCAGTTGTCACATCAGATGCTAGTAACTACACAGTGTCTGTGTTACTAATCCCCTATTAAATTTTCTTTGTTTCCAAATAACTCAATCATCTAGAATAGTCCTTTACAATCAATGGACACCATGGGATGAAGCAGAACTTGAGAATAACTTACATGGAACTCAGAGGTAAAAATATTCTTGGTGTCTCCACTCAGAATATGCTTTGCCATAAGTAAGGTTAAGATTGTTGCTTTATTCCCAATCAAGCTATAAAACCTTATAAGATTGTTTAAAAATCTCAATGAATATGAACAAAGACTCAACTTCCTATTTGGGCAGAAGCACTGACCACTTCTGCGAAACTGGAAAACTAGCGTCTACTTAACACGGCTGCCGCCTCCCTGCGCCAACACTAAGTTGGATCCAATTTTAAAGTGCATGAAGAACTCACTGAATAGATTTTGAAAACATGCTTCATTAAAAAAAAAAAAGATCACTGTTCTAGTTTAGTTTTCCCTTCAATCTGCATGATGAAGCAAACCTATAGGACAATGTAACTGCGTTTATGGTAAAACTCATAGATAACTTTTTTTTTTTTAATTGGAAAGGCAGATATACAGAGAGGAGAAACAGAGAGGAAGATCTCCCGTCCAATGATTCACTCCCCAAGTGAGCCGCAACGGCCGATGCCATGCCTATCCGGAGCCAGGAGCCTCTTCAGGGTCTCCCATGTGGGTGCAGGGTCCCAAAGCTTTGGGCCGTCCTCTGCTGCTTTCCCAGGCTACAGGCAGGGAGCTGGATGGGAAGCGGGGCTGCCGGGATAGAACCGGCGCCCTTATGTGATTCCGGGCGTGCAAGGCGAGGACCTTAACCACTTGTGCCACCGCTCCGGGCCCCATAGATTACTTTTATTTCTTGTTTTCTATGGCATTGCCTGAAAATAATACTATCATCCACCTTTTTTTTTTTTTTTGCAAATTAGGTTTAGAAATAGCTACCAAATTTACCTGGCCACACAAACTACTACCAGTTTCTCCCAGTTTCTCCTTCCTCTACTTTGATGTTTCCATTGTAAAGAGGGGAAGAAGGAGCACATGACGGCTTTAATCACACCAATCCTGACCAACCCAAAACCACAGTCCTTCATCTATTACTCTTATCCCATTTGCCAAAACACCATGAACCCTGTCCGACAAAGATATTTCGCCTAGTATTTTTTCCTGCCTTGTCCAAATGCTGCCACTTGCTATTAAGAAAACAAACAAAAAAACTTCAGACTGATATATCCTATCTTAGTGACAGCAAAACAAAAGTCAAGGAAACGACATGTAGATGAAATGAAAGCCACCAAGTGTTCACACCGGCATCTCCTTATAGAAATCTAAGCTTGGGGCCCGGTGCGGTGGTGCAGTGGTTAAGGTCCTCGCCTTACACGTCCGGGATCCCATATGGGCACCGGTTCTAATCCCGGCAGCCCCGCTTCCCATCCAGCTCCCTGTCTGTGGTCTGGGAAAAGCAGTCAAGGACAGCCCAAAGCTTTGGGACCCTGCACCCGCGTGGGAGACCTGGAAGAGGCTCCTGGCTTCGGATCGGCATAGCATCGGCCATTGCGCTCACTTGGGGAGTGAATCATCGGATGGAAGATCTTCCTCTCTGTCTCTCCTCTCTGTATATCCGCCTTTCTTAAAAAAAAAAAAAAAAGAGAGAAAAGAAAAATGAAATCTAAGCTTGATCAGGTCCAGAGCAAGGCCCTGCTGGAAACCCAATGGCCCCGTCTTCAGCTCACAGGGTGGAAGGGGCCTGAGAAGCCAAATGCTCACCACCAAGGGGAGAACAACTGCCTTTGCCTCCACCTGGGCTGCAAGAGTGCACAGGAATGGCTCCACTGCTCCATGGAGCTCTCCATGGCCAATGGCCATCACTGCTTTATGTGGGTATGAGGAAGACGGGAAGAGAGGAGGAGAAACGAGAGGAAGAAGAAACGAGAAAAGGGGAGATGGGAAGGAGGAGAGGAGAAAGGAGGACACTATTTCCCTCTACTTCAATCCTATGTATGAAAGGGAAACATACCAGAACAAAGAAAAAGAAATGTGCATGAGGCTAAACATATACCTAAGTATTTAAGGAACACATAAACACTTGACACATATACAAGATATTTTATGTGAAAACACTTATGAAAATAATCGGCAAATAATCAGCTCTAGGGAACTAAAGAGAAGCAAGTAAACAGTCACTCACTGAGTTCTTTGTATCTATGACTACATATAAATCTCTTTAAATTTCCCAGATACATAACAATTGGACATTTTCACTTCTATAAGAAAAATGCAATAAAAATACACTTTCAAAAATCTCAAACTTGGGGGCCGGCACAATAGTCTAATTGCTAAATCCTCATTCGAATGTGCTGGGATCCCATATGGGCACTGGTTCTAATCCCAGTGGCCTTGCTTCCCATTCAGCTCCCTGCTTGTGGCCTGGGAAAGCAGTCAAGGACAGTCCAAAGCCTTAGCATCCTGCACCCACATGACAGACCCAGAAGAGGCTCCTGGCCCCAAATTAGCTCAGCTCCAGCCATTGTGTGGCTACTTGGAGAGTGAACCAGCAGATGAAAGATCATCCTGTCTCTCCTCCTCTCTGTATATCTGACTTTGCAATAAAAATAAATAAATCTTTAAAAGAAATTTGAATTTGAAATACACATTGCTTTCAGTAATCACCTTCTTTTACTAGTTTAAAAAAAAAAACCAATGTTGAAAATTTGGCAGGTTCTCTCATCTTTTTTTCCTCTTCAGGATATAACCTTAAAACAACATAAGGAGGTGGGGAAAAGTTGAGGAGAAATAGTATCTACGGTATTGTAGAAAGGTTTTTCAAAAAGCTCATGGAAAACCATTTTCATGAAAAAAAAAAAAACACTTAAAATCACATAGATTTATCCAAATAAGCATTTTCCATAATTTTTTGAAATATTCTTATAAAATATTTTCCAACACAATAAAAATGTTTTTGCTGAAACAAATACAAAATTAGTTTCATTTGAATACTTATTTGACATGAAATAAATATCTTCAGGAACTCAAACAGATTAGGAAATAGTTCAATCTTATTTTGTCAAGGTACTTTGTAGGTTGAAAATAACAAGAAGTACTATTAATGTCAATGAAAATCTAATGTTTTTCGCCGATAATCTTAAATTCATGCCAGAGATGAAGTATTAAGAAAAACAAAGCTGAACCATGTAGCCTTCCTAAACGAATAAATTGATAAGTCACAAGTGTGCTCTAACCTCCTCTGTTTGTATTATTACCAAAAACATCACATTTCCCCTGCCAGTAAATGGAATGGGGGTGACGTCTCAACTCGGAGGCTGAAAGGAAGTGAAGGCCGTTTTCCAGGTCATGAATTTTTGAGGCTTTAAATATTTAAAACCACCTGGTAAGTGAAGGGCTATCTGGGGACTTTTCCCACAAGCAGATGAAACTACCACCTGAGTTCGGCAACACTATGGTAAGTGGGATTTTAGGAGATTAAGAACAAATTTTGAGACCGATTAACACTTCCAGGTGACCACAGGTCCTCTTATTCAAACCTGCTTTGAATGTGAACAAGATGACTGTAAATATAATCCCAGATCTTATGACCAACCTACCACCAAAATGAGCCTGTCAGTCAAACTCCCCCACCTCTGATACCAACAGTGGCTTCCAGTTCTGTTCACTCGAGCACCATCTTGGACATGAGAAGTGTTTCTAATTTTAACATTAAGTAAAAACAGATGCTGCCGTCCCATTAAACTCTTCCAGCTGCTACTGAACCACCAGCAACCTGAGTCTGTTTAATTTGGAGACCACTAACGGTAAAAAGGAAAATCTGACTGCCAAAATTGTACACCCAAGTTAAACCAGAGAGACAGAAAATGAAAACAGCTCATGAAAGCGCATGTATTCTAAAAAGGGCTCTCCAACTGATGATGGGCAATTTTACCCGAGGTTAATAGCTTTAAAAAAGATGTTGCTTATTAAATCCTTAATTCAAACACAGTCAAACAAGCCATTCCATCCATTACATGTCAGCTGATTTTATTCATCTGGGTTTATGCTTCCTAAACATGAGTCTTTGCTATGATGCCTTACACATGCACACAGGCGTTAACAGTACCTAAGGGCACTGTGAATATTAATTGAACTGAGATATCACATCAATTAATACATAGCAAGGCCAGTATGACAGATCGGTTTGATATGCAGGCCCTGAAGCCTGATGAGTTATCACCAACGCTCCCGAAGCGGCCGGCTTTGGGGAGTGGAGAAGGAGAACAGTGTCTTACAGGTGGCACTGCACTGGCAGCAGCGTGCAATGTAAAAGTGCTTTGTCATTCTCATAATGTCTGGGGTAATGAAATGAATTCACTTTCTGGCTTCCTCTAGTCTGCGGTGCCAAAGAACACTGTGTTATCAGCACAGATGGAGCATGCATGGATCTGGAGGAGAGCCTGGTGCGAACAACAAACAAGCCACTGTGAATACCAATGAAGCCCCGAGATTCAGACCCTCGCTGTCAAATGACAGCTTTGGAAGCCTCATAAAATCAAGCAATTCCCAGTGGTCTTGTCCAACCAACTGCTATGTCAAGGTTTTGGACAGGTAACTTGAAAGTCAGGTAAAGCACAGAAGACACTCCCATGAGCTGTATTCTTCTCCTCTCTCATTTCCTATCAAATAACGAGGCAGTAGATAATCTATGCTGAGGCAGATACTGAACCACTTCTCTGAGCCAACTGTCTCTGCACAGGAAACAACTCAACCCAAGCAGTTGAAAAGCATGGATTCACAAGTACACTGCACATTGCTACGAATGATGAAGCTGTGAATCAATGAACATGAACAGATAATGCATAGAAAAATGATTAGAAAAGAGGCATACCCATTAACATACTCAGAAGTCTCTGGACCTTTGAACTCACCCCCACAACTCTGTACAGTCCTTGGTCATTTATACCTACAGAAAGAGACAACATGTTAGCAAAATGCAAGACTATATTCTAAAAGCGTCTATCAGACATTTGCAATCAGGATTTTTGTTAACTCACATTAGCAACATTCCTGCTGATTATAAAAATAATACTTAACAAAAATAAGTGTTTCCTAACTTGTTTTTGCCAACTTGGTATTCGTAAGTGGTAGGTGGAAAACAATCTCATGAAACAATGTTCCATGTCAACAAATGAAACCAATGTTAAGGAAGTGAGTCAAGAACCATGGATGCGCGAAAATGTATATCCCCATAATTTGTCAAGATTTGTCAAAAGTTTAATGTTTATTGTGTTTACTTGTTTATATTTCTCTTGCAAAGATTTAGCCTTTAAAACTTATATGCTGGGCCTGGTACAATGGCTCAGGGCTAACACCCTTGCCACGATCCCAAATGGGTGCCAGTTTGTGCCCTGGCTGCTCCACTTCCCTTCCAGCTCCCTGCTTGTGGCCTGGGAAAGCAGTAGAGGGTGGCCCAAAACCTTGGGACCATGTAACCACAAAGGAGACCAAAAACAATCTCCTAGCTTCAAATGGGCTCAGCTCTAGCCATTATAGCCACTTGAGGAATAAACCAATGCAAGATCTTTGTCTTTCCTTCTCTCTGTAGCTCTGCCTTTCCAATAAAAACTAACAAAAATGTTTTTAAATAATTCTGTGCTGATGGGGCCAGCACAATGGTGTAGCACACTAATCCTTCAACTACAAGCGCCAGCATTCCATATGGGTACCATATTGTATCCCAGCTGTTCCATTTCTAATTCAGCTCTCTGCTTATGGGCCTAGGAGAGCAGCTGAGGCCCATGTCTTTGGGCCTCTACACCCACATGGAGATCTGGAAGAAGCTCTTGGTTCCTGGTTTCAGACCAGCTCAGCTCTGGCAGTTACTGATGCTTGAGTAGTTAACCAGTGGATGGAAGAGTCTCTCTCCTTCTCTCTCCACGTAAAAAACTGCCTTTCAATAAAAGCAATTACTTTTTTAAAAAGTATATGTTGAGGATCAGTACATAAAATGAAATCACTGGATGACTCTGAAGACCTCAGAAATCCATTGAGAATTAAAGTGAAACACTATACTCACAAGAAAATAAATTTAAAAACTACAAAATAATTCTACAGCCTATAGAGGGAGGTGCTCTGAAACTCTGAAAGAGCCCCGTAAGCGCAACAGCAAAATACCAAGTCAAGGCACCCTATCTCTGCAGACACCCGAGGACCAAGGGACCCTGAGCACAGCAGAAAATGAAGGCCAGAAAACACACTGTCAAGTGCTGGGCAGATGCGCTTATTAGGATTCTGATCTGAATAAGCCATTTGTAAAAGGCACCTATGAAGCAACTAGAACACTCCGAGTAGCACTAAGGCTGTTAGGGAAGAAAAAAGTGTATTTTTTAAAGTTGCATATTGTCAATTCTTCCTTGCTAAAATCAGTATTGTTACTTTCCTTATTCCTCCTCCTTGCCTTTTCTTTAGTTATTTGTCATCTTGGATTTGCTTTAAGAGAAACAGGGATAGATGAAGCAACTGTGGCAAAATGTTTGTAACTGGAATCTGAATGATATTATCAATCTATTTTACCCTTAAAAATGCTCATCACAAAATAATGATTTCCAAAGGTGTGAGTCATTATCTTGACTTCCAAAGAGTTACAGCTTTCTGGCTGCAGGCTGAGATTCTGTACAATGAATGTCAACAAGCACACAAGTAGCTGAGGATTTGAGGTCTTTAAGCGCCAGTGTTTCCACACAATACAAAACTCAGCAACTGAAAGCCCATGCTATTTACCCATTCTGCTTAACTTTCTCTTCCCCTCCCAGTGCAGGGGGATCTAAAAGAATTAAGCTCCAGTCAAAAGCAAGGGACTCACGTCCAACCTGTTACTGCTGAGCAAGTCAGAAAACCTCTGTCCATCTCTAGGACACATCTGACCTGAGGGAGCTGTATTCTGAGAATAAGACAACATGTGAGTTCTGTAAATTTTAAGATGTGAAACATACTAGAACTCTGCCTTGCCAAGAATCAGTGTTTTTCTTTATTCCCTCATTGTCTTTTATTATTTACTCATTTTTCTGAAGCTTGCCAAATGTTCTTTTTCTTTGTGTTATGACCTACATTTTTTTAAAAGATTTATTTTTTATTATTTTTTTTATTGGAAAGGCGGATATTCAGAGAGGAGAAACAGAGAGGAAGATCTTCCGTCCGATGATTCACTCCCCAAGTGAGCCCAACAGCCAGTGCTATGCCGATCCAAAGCCAGGAGCCTCTTCCAGGTCTCCCACGCAGATGCAGGGTCCCAAAGCCTTGGGCTGTCCTCGACTGCTTTCCCGGGCCACAGGCAGGGAGCTGGAAGGGAAGCGGGGCTGCTGGGATCAGAACCGGCGCCCATATGGGATCCCGGGCGTGCAAGGCGAGGACCTTAACCACTTGCGCCACTGCACTGGGCCCCTATGACCTACATTTTGACCGCACCTACACACACACACACCACACTGAATTCCTAAATCTCCAAATGTGACTGGACAAGGGTACTTCCAAAAAGTTTGTGGAAAGTACAACTTAAAAACAAGCAAAGCAAAATTTAAAGTTTGTGTGGGCATCTGATGCAGCAGTGAAGATGACCCCTGGGATGCATACAACCCCACAGAGTTCAAGGCGTGGCTCTGTTTCCGATTGTAGCTTCCTGTTGATGTGCACCCCTGACAGGCAACAAGTCAGGCCCAAATGCGTGGATCTCTGCCACATATACAAAACTTGGACAAAGTTCCAGGCTCCTGACCACATCCGACCCAGTCTAAGCTCTGTCGACATTTCTAGTGCGAACTAGTGGTGGGATATTTCTCACACTCTGCCTCTTAAGTAAAAAATGTTTTTCTTCTAACAGGTAAGTTTAATTTGGTGCAAAACATGAATTGAAGACAACTTCATTTAGACATAAGACCTCTAAAACAGTTTACAACAAGGTCACCAACGTGACTGGCATCCTTATCAGGAGAGGATATTAGGACACAGATATGCACAAGGGGAAGACTATGTGAGGACAGTGGAAGAGCACAGGTTGTATAAAGAAACCCACCCTGCCAGGACCTTAATGTTGAACATCAAGTACTCAAAACCAGAGAAAACGCCTTCCTCTTGCTGAAGTCCTCCAGTGTTAAACTTGACTATGGCACCTGAGCAAACTGTGCCCCCAGTTCTATTATCCCATTAGCGTGCCAAGACCTAGAATAGGAAGTGTGAAGCCGTTCAGCATCCACAAACCCATGTAGAACACTTGTGAATCACAGCTGCAGCAAAGCTCCTTCCCTGTGGGAAGCTCCCCGCCACACGCAGGCAAGAAAGAAAAGGAAATTGCCCAGAGGCATGCCACTCAGAGTCCTTCCTGCCTGCTCCAGGAGGGGGGTTAAAAAAAGAAGGCAAGTCTCATTCCTTCCTTCTCATAGATGAGAAAAGGGCAGGCCCAGAAGTTAAGTATCCCAATGGATTTCTCTCTTTTTTGCAGTGTTACTATTATTTAAGAAACCTGCAATAGTTTGACCTCGGTGCCAGAGACGAAAGGGCAAGTCATGCTCTACACTGTGTGCCACTATGGAAACTGCCTGAAGAGTGTGGAGAGATGGAGCGAACGTGTTACTTCAGCAACAACCATCACTCCGTGCTGCTGGTAATCACTATCAGATAATTGATCAAGCTCAAATTCATCAGCCTTAGAGGAAGAGTTAATTGCTAATGCATAATAAAAGGTGCAAGGGGAAATTAAAGCCACTCAACAGCTTTTCCTTTTTTTTAAAATGTGATTTAAATAAAACTACAAAAGCATCTTGAAAACAGCACCTAAATACTCAAGTCTTGCCAAATTTTTTGTTTCTTGTCATCTGCCCTAAAGGTTGCAGACTAACAACATGAGAATTTAAGCATACTTTGTATCTAGGAATGGCTATACATTCATACAAAAGAAATCCAATGTATTTAAAGAGTACAGAGCAAGCAATATGCCAAGTCATATTACTAAGTGTATCATATTCTTTCCCATCTCTGTTCCAATTTCACTGTGCCAAAGAACCACCCTTTCTAGTCACCAAGTATCAGAAATTCGTCATTATTTGACTTTTCATTTTCTCAATTCAACAAGCCCACGTCTATGCTTGCTGAAAACTTCACACTCAGCTCTGCTTCCTGAACAGTCTACTATGTCACGCACACTTCATAAAGGAATTCTGACAAGGCAACACACACAAACCAGCAACGATTCTGAACATCAGCGCCTTTTGTTTCTCCAGGTTTTTATTTTTTTTTAACCATTTCTGTTATCTATGGTCTTCTCCAGCCCCATTGTTAGAGCAAGCCATCAGCTCAGGGGCTGGCATTATGGTGTAGTGGACTCAGCTCACACCAATGCTTTCTTATGACTGGTTGTGATGGCCATGTATCCTAGTCAAAGACAGTCTTTTTTTTTTTTTTTTTTGTTCCCAAAAATTAAACCAGGAAAAGCAGTAACGTTTGGAGCCAGCATTGTGGCATAGCAAGTAAAGCTACTGCTTCAGATGCTGACAGTCCATACAGGTGTCAGTTAGAGCTCTGCTGTTCCATTTCCATCTAGATCCTTGACCTGGGAAAGCATAGAAGGACCCCTACACACAGGTGGGAGATCCAAAGAAGATCCTGGCTCCCGGCTTAGGCCTAGCCAAGCCCTGGCTATTGTAGCCATCTGGAGAAAGAACCAGCAGACGGAATCTCTCTCCCTCAACTCTTTCAAAAACAAATAAAATAAATATTTGAAAATAGATAGACAGAAAGATGATACAAAGAAAAAGCATTATTGTTTCCCTTGCATTCAGAACCTACGCAGAAAGTAACAGTAACTCCGGGCTCTCATATGGGTGACGGTAACTACCCACAAATACAAGCTTCGTACCTAATCCGTAATGTGCAGCTTGAGGAGAGAAGCTTACTGAAAACCAGGTACTTTAT